CTCATGCTGAATGTGATGTGCCATCAGGGGCTCGTGCCGACTGTAGGAACAGTGCTCTGGGATGCATCCGCAAAACTGCATCTTCTGCCCAGGGATTCCCTCCGGTTTGGTTTGGTTGTGTCCTTTAGCCAACTACAGTGGTAGCGGAGCGCCTGGTAACGTCCGGGCGCCTAGGGGGTTCTTAGTGAGGTAAATCTCTGAGTGGAAGAGGCAGTTTTGTGTGCAGGAGTTGTGCATAGCCTTTTGATGACGCAGCCAAGAGCTGCCGATCTTCCGGTGCCAGAATCGGAAGACGCGGATCTTCAGCTAGGGGATGATGCTGAAGAAGAGCATGACGAGCAAGCGGAATATGAACAATTCCGCCGGTGGATGCAAATCCGAGAGCGTGAGCGGCATGGGAGAAGACGAGGACGCGACTCAAGAGAACCAAGCCGCCGCCGTGACGATGATGATGATGAGTTCGGCAATGATAGCCGGGCCAATGCCGGCCCACCACCTCCGTGGGACGGGACGGAAAGTCCTTTCGAGGATTACCTGATTCGAGCAAGAATCTGGGTGAACACGACAAAGGCTCGGGCCAAGGCACGCGGGCCCCTTCTCCTCAAGGCCCTGAGCGGTACTCCTTTCCAGGACTTCAAGTATCTGGCTAAGGACTTGTCGTGGCTTGCCGACCCGGACAATGCCGAGATCTTGTTATCCAAGATGGATTCTCCAGAGTACTATGGAGATGATCAGGATGAGCACCTGCTGGCCTCTCTGGCGCGGATCACATACCACTTGAAGAGGCAGAAATCTGAAAGCGCACGTCAGTTTCTGGGCAGGTGGGAAGCAGCAGAGAGAAAGGTTCATGAACACAAGGTGAACCTGCCGGCGATCTACAAGGGGTTCCTTCTGATCAATGCCTTAGGACTGCCTGAAGGTGACATCAAGGCCCTGCTGAACTTCACGCAAGGTTCGATTGAGCCAAAGGATGTCAAGAATTGGCTTCGGAAACACGAGGCCAAACTTCAAGCAAACCAGCTGGGCAATGATTCGATGATGAAAAACCCTAAGACACCAAGCAGCGCGGTCCATCTTGTTGAGGACCCGGACGATGCCGGGTTGGATCTTCTTGATGAGATCGACGACACAGAGGACCTGGACACCATGGAAACCATGTTGGCGGACCTGCTTGATGCAGACCCGCCAGAGCCAGGCACCTTCGAGGAGAGCGAAGCAGCCGAGATCTTGGCGATGATGATCAAGGAGAAGAAGAAGTCTTACGTCCAGTCAGCTCAGCTGAAGAAGGATCGAGAACTCGGTCGTGGCTATCGCGGCGGTGCTTCCGGCGGACCAAGCCGGGCCGCCCAAGGCCCGATACGCCCGGGAACTTATCGTCTTTCGATTGCTGAACTGAAACAACGGACGAGGTGCCAGAAATGCGGGCAGCTGGGACATTGGAAGAGGGAATGCCCCAACAAGCCATCTGGCGCTGGAAGCTCTAATCAGAAGGAGACACATCTCCTTGAGGTGGAGCTCGATGACTACGAGGACGCCATGTTTTGCCACATGCTCGAGCGGATTCCGGTTGATGGCGGCACGGCCTCGCAAGGATCGGGGACCGAGCCGGTTTTGAACGAGGAGAATGAGCCAAAGGGCTACGGGCATGACCTTTCGCCCCCAGACAGCCCAATTCCCGAGCTCGATTACATGTCATGTCGACTTCATGAAGTGTGGTTTGCGAGTAGTTCTAGCTACGAGGATGCAGCCTGTGCCACTTTGGACACTGGATGTCAGAGAACTGCCATCGGAATAGAAACCCTGAAACAAATGAAACCTTTTTGGCCTGACACACTCACTTGGTTTCGCCAACCTGAGGTGAATCGCTTTCGTTCTGTTCACGGAGTGTCGCAAACCACCCAAAATGCGGTCATACCCTGCAGTCTAGGAAACAAAGGTTGTTATCTGAAACCAGCGGTGTTCGATGAAGGTCATAGTGCCAGGGCTCCTTTTCTTATTTCGTTGAAGTTCTTGTTGCAAAGTGACGCTGTCATCTGCTTGATTGCCGGAAAGCTAGGGCTGCACTTGCATCGACATGACTGCAGGATTCCCTTGTACATCGGACCCACAGGAGCTCTGCGGATCCCGCTGAACCAGTTCAACCCCGAGATGCTTCAAGCCCTGACCCAAGCCGAACAGAAGATTCAGAAGAGTAGCTGCAATGAGTTCGAAGTGCTGTCGCTGAGTGAGCTCGCGGATCCTCCTGGAGGATCAGAAGCAAGTAGCAACCCCGAAGGCCCGTTTTCAGCTCCAGGCCTCCATCATGGATTGTTCGTCCCCGACGAACAAACGCGCTCGTCCCGAGGGAGCCGATCAGGATCGAACCGGTCGAGCCGTCTCAGCCTGGCAAAGGTTCCTTCTGAAGATCATTGTCATGTTTCGTCCGGCTGTTCAGTTCATGGTCAATGTGGTCCAAGGATCCTTGGACCGATCGTTCAACCACGTGAAGGAGAACGTGGCCGAGTTCCAGGTGACTCACCTCGAGGAGCTCAAGAAGGCCGTGGACGCAGCGATCAAGGACAAGACGGAGTCCGACCGGATGATGTTCGTCCGCTTCCAGAACTGGAAGAAGGAACGGGCTTACAGCTCGAAAGGTCTCGCCCCACCGGCGCCGCCGACCGAGACCGAGAAGGAGTTCGAAATGGTGGAGGAAGAGAGCTCGCTACTGACGATGCACTGCTCCGAGGTGGGAAGCCGGGGACGGCGTCTGTCACGACCAAGGACAGACAGTGCCCCAAGAGGACCTCCTCCACCGGAGCCGGTGAAGTACTCGAAGAAGTCTTCCTTTGCTCCGTCGGAGACCAGCTCGGCGTTCTCAATGTCGACAACCAAGCAACCGGTGCCGACAACACCAATGCCTCCCAGCTACAGCCCCGAGGGCGTGATCACGGACAAGATGAAGCAGCAGGAGGTGTTCACGGCCAGCGCCCACCTCTTCAACAACCGTCTGGTGGTGTGTCGTTGCCACCCCGACCGGATGTGCAAGATGGAGCTCAGCCAGACGCCGGTCAACTACAAGCGTCTGTTCTTCAACTGCAGCGAGAAGAACGAGGAGCGCCAATGCGGCTTCTTCCAGTGGTGCGAGAATCAGCCAATGCTGGAGGACGGCTACAAGGAGACCCGCGAGAGGATTCGACGAAGCTATCCGCGGGACCTGACGCCGAGGGAGATGCTGGTTATGATGTGCCAGGATCTATGCGGGCATCACGCCACGACCCGGGCGGGATCCAATGGCTTTGTGACAAGGGTGAGGTGCAGAACCTGTCAGAAGCTGATCAGCTACGAGACCAAGAGTATGATACCGGTTTCGACAGCCGAGCCGGCTGCCGGATCCAGCATCCCGGAAGAGTCGGAGAGCAGCCTTCAGGCCGATTACCAGGAGTTCCTGAAATGGCGACGTGGTTGCCACTAGGCCGTCGGCGCCGTCGACAGCTGAGCAGATCTCTTGGCCAAACACAACGCCAAATGGCACATGTGTTTGATCTGTTGAAGCTGGAGGCAGATCAACTGCCTATCAACCGGGAGGACCGGCACCGTCCGTTTTTCAGTCATGCAGGAAAAACCGATATGACATGCGAGCAAGTGATTAGGCATGGACTAGGGCACACCAAGGCCGAAGCTGACATGTTCTGGAAGTCTGAAGAGTTCGGGGTTGATATGTCGGTGCTGAATGTAGGAAACTGCGCGAACATGTTCTTGAATCAACTTTGGCATGCCATTGACCTTAAAGCTGCGTGTACCATGATAGTTCTCCCCAATGTCTCGGTGTTCAGTGAGCTGCTGTGTCAAGTGCTACTGCAAGGGATACAGAAGCTCAGCCACGGACATAGCAAGCTTGTGGTCGTCAGTGAAGTAGGAGCTGGCCTGGCAATGCTTGATCAGATGACATGTTTGCCACACCGCAGCCGTCACAGTGGGATGGCCTATGCCACCAACTGGCAGGGGCTACATGAGGTCTTGCAACAGGCCCATGATTCCACGGCGGCCCAGGCGAAGAACATAGTCCGCCACTGCTTAGGTAGCGCCTATGGCATCGACCGTGACCGAGTTCATGAACATGAGATCTCGGAACAACAAGTCGAGAACCAACGACAGCTGGCGAACTACCAGAAGCACCTGCACCGGCCGATGGAGGACCATGAGATCTACTACCAGAGACGAGTGCGGGCACGGACTGAACGAATGGACGACCGGACTCAGGCACCACAAGGAAACGAATCAGAACCGCGACTTCAACATGATCAGCCGGAAGAAGGGGGACAACATGTACCAGTTCATGCAGGACACCATGCCGGAGACGATTCAGAACGACGACTTCAGCACGATCATCCGGAAGAAGGGGGTCCAGGACAAGATGTAGAACAGCATGCCGGAGACGATTCAGAGCCACGACTTCGACGCGATCATCCGGAAGAAGGGGGTCCTACAGAAGCCCGAGGGCGTGAAGAGCGCGCTCTACCGGGGAGCAGACAACGTACATTGATCCAGCTTGTTCGTCGAGCACACGAGGGTCTCGGACATCCTCACAAAGAACGTTTCATCAGGATCCTTCGGGCCGCCAAGGCCTCAGACGACGTCATCAAGGTCGCCCAGGACTTACGTTGTAGCGTATGCGAGCGGTTTCTCCAGACTCGACCGCCCCGCCGGGCGGCACCACCTCGCGAGCTTGGGCTCAATGAGGTAATTGGAATGGATACGGTGTGGCTCCCAGCTGTTGGCCAGAAGCGGAAGAAGATCGCTTTGAACATCATCGATTATGCTTCTCATTTTCAGATGGTGATTCCGCTCAGGGGTCGTAGTCCTGAAGCTGTTTGGAGTGGCTATCGCAACTGGGTCAAGTTCTTTGGACCGCCCAAACAGATCTGGGCAGACCAAGGTGGCGAGTTCAAGGGCACCTTCCGAACTCGGACTGCACAAGAAGGCACCCGCATGGATCCCAGCAGCCTGGAATCCCCATTCCAACGAGGACTGGCCGAGCGACACGGAAAAACCTTCAAGGCGATGCTCGAGAAAGTGATGCAGGACTACAACTGCAGCTCTGTAAGTGACTGGCAGGAGCTCGTGGACACGACCAGCATGATGAAGAACCGCCTCGCCTCGCGGGGAGGTTTTTCTCCTGTACAACGAGTCCTAGGTTACCTTCCTCGCCTACCAGGCGGACTTCTTTCTGGAGGACAAGATGACGCTGAGGCCGGGAAAGAACCGATTCTTGGAGATGGCGGGCTACAGCGGGCTATGACCATCCGCAAGCTTGCCGCCAAGGCCTTCTTTGAGGTTGACTGCGATCAAGCTTTACGCAACGTGCTGGCTGGTGGACCACGTCCTCAGTTTGACTACGCGGTGGGACAGATGATCTACTTCTACCGCCTCGGGCATTCCAAGAAGGGTGACCGACCACACCAAAGATGGCATGGGCCGGCCCGGGTGATCATGACGGACCTGCCGTCAACACTCTGGCTCAGCTACCAAGGGAACTTGGTCAAGGCCTCACCTGAGCGAGTCCGACCAGGCAGCGAGGAGGAACAGCTCACGATCTCCGGATGGCTTGACGGACTTACACAGGCCAAGAAGGAGTTCGAGAAGGAACCCAAGAAGGGCTACATCGACCTGACCAAGGATCCGGTCCCCGAGTACACCGACGAGATCGAGGAGTCCACCGAGGACCTCGGGGACGACGACATCCTACCGGCCGGAGTCCACTACAGACGTTTGCGGGCCAAGATGAGCCCAGAGCAAGCCCGTCGGATTTCCTTCGGGCCGGAGAACATGGACGAAACGCCACCGATGATCAGAGAGGGTCTTCGTCCTGAGGAGAACTCAGGGGTGATCGCGGGCCGGACCAACCCGGCAGAACTGGAGGTACCAGATGACGACATGAACGAGGACAATGAGGACGAGGAACCGGCAGTGGAACCACCGGCTAAGCGATCAAGGATCCAGCTCCTCGAGATCTACTACGCCAAGCTGGAAACACTTTTCAAGACGCGACAGAGGAAAGAGGTCCGGCTGAAAGACCTGAACGCTCGAGACCTGGAATGTTTCCTCAAAGCAACCACCAAGGAGATCCACAACAACCTGGAGACCAAGGCCTACGAGATGCTGGACAGTGAGGAGAGCCAGCGGATCCGGCGGGACAAGCCGGAAAGAATTATGGAGTCCCGCTATGTTCGAACGGCAAAGCCGCTCGAGCCTGGCGATGTCGACAAAGCCCAGGCCGATGGAACGTTGCTTAGTGATGAGCACGGGGGACCTTGCAAGGCAAAGGTCCGGCATGTCATGAAGGGTTTTTCTGAAGATGGGGCTGAGGATCTTGAGGCGGCTACTCCCCAGGTGACTAGAGAAGGCGTTATGTTTGTCACTCAGGTGATTGCGAGCAAGGGATGGAGACTTGGGTTTCTTGATTTTACTCAGGCTTTTCATTCCGGGGATCCGATTGCTAGGGAACTGTACGCTGAGCAACCTCCCGAAGGAGTTCCTGGTATGAAAAAGGGTGATTTGCTGAAGCTTCTCAAGACGTGTTACGGTCTACTGGACGGGCCGATGGCCTGGTTCAGACACCTGAAACGGGTCCTGTTAGAGGAACTCGGGTACACCCAAAGCCTTGCTGACCCCTGTATCTACTTTCTTCATGATAATGAGCGCAAGGGTTGGGATCGCTTGAGAGGGATTGTGTCCGTTGCTACTGATGACTTGCTTCATGGTGGGGATGATGAACATGAGTCACGAATGCAAAAACTCAATGAACGCTACAAACTTGGAAAATTCCAGTACGGAGCTGGTAGGTTCACCGGAAAGCAGTTCACCCCCCAAGATGACGGTAGTATCATCATCGATCAAAAGCACTATGTTGAGGAGAAGGTCCGCAAGATCCCTTTAACCCGAACCAGGAAAGGCCAGAGATACTCGTATTGCAGTGAAGAAGAAATTGCTCAGCTCCGATCTTTAGTTGGAGCTTTATCCTGGCTTGCCAAGGAAACCAGGCCCGATCTGTGTGGTAGAGTTTCTCTGTTGCAACAACAGTTTCCTCGTCCCCGTGTTCGTGATATCGTCACTGCGAATCAACTTGCTGTTGAAGCTGAGAAGTTTTCGGTTGGCATCAAGGTTTCCCCGATTGCCTTGAATAAACTTCGGGTCAGTGCGGTGACGGACGCAGCTTGGGGAAATTCCGAGGACCCCGCTCAGAAGGAAGAAACCGGTTTGGATTTCTGGGTGGAGACTCCTACTCAGTGGATTCGGAAACATGTGCAGCCTAGAAGAACTTTGTTTCATCCTGGCATGGTTGATAGTGGCCCAGACATCCATCAGATTGAAGCGAGCCGCATCACCAGGCTGCGGCAAGACCATAAGGAAGACAGCCGAAGTGACCAATGGAATACCAGCAAGGTTGGTCTGATTCCCGGAGAGCCGTGGACTGGCGAGACGGTCTTCACTAAGACCACTCAAGGAGTAAGCGCCGCTGACATTTCAGAGACTTTTCTTCAGAATCGTCGTACGTGTAGCCAGGGCGGTCACATCATTATCTTTCATGATCAAGATTTGCAGTTTGAGCCGTCAGCAGAAGTGACCGTTGCTAGCTGGAAGAGCTACCGTCTGAAACGGAAGGTGGTCAACACCCTGTCTGCGGAATGTCAGGCGCTGGCCAGTGGAATCGGCAATGTTCATTGGCACAGGTTTCTTCTCCTCGAGGCCCAAGGCGCGGAGATCAACGATCAGGACTGGGAGAGGTCTTTAGCGGGTATGAAATATCTGGCTGTTACTGATTCTAAGTCGTTGTTTGACTCATTGTCGAAACAGACCTGTCCTTACAGTCAGATCGACGACAAACGTACTGCCATTGACATTTCAATCATCAAGAACGAACTTTCTCAAGGGGGCACCATTCGCTGGATCGATGGCAGAAACATGATTTCTGACTCTTTGACCAAGAGTGCAAGTGGCTGCTATCTTCGTCACGTCATGTCAAAAGGTCGCTGGACTCTAAACGAGCTCGGATTTCAGACTTTGTTCCCAGAGGCGACGGTCACCAATGACTGTCTTTTCCTCTATGATGGCTTGTGGGACTCGTGGTTTCAGCCAAAATAAAGAGAGGCCGATGTGAAATTGTCGGTCTGCTTGGCTGAACACCTCATGCTGAATGTGATGTGCCATCAGGGGCTCGTGCCGACTGTAGGAACAGTGCTCTGGGATGCATCCGCAAAACTGCATCTTCTGCCCAGGGATTCCCTCCGGTTTGGTTTGGTTGTGTCCTTTAGCCAACTACATAGGGTTTAGGGTTTGGGGTTTGGGGTTTGGGGTTGGGGATTTGGGGTTTGGGGTTTAGGGTTTGGGGTTTAGGGTTTAGGGCCGTTTAGGGTTTAGGGTTTAGGGTTTGGGGTTTACGGTTTGGGGTTTGGGGTTTGGCGTTCGGGGTTTGGGGTTTAGGGTTTAGGGATTTTTAGGGTTTAGGGTTTAGGGCTTTGGGCTTGGGGTTTAGGGTTTAGGGTTTAGGGTTTGGGGTTTAGGGTGTGAAATTGTCGGTCTGCTTGGCTGAAC